GATACTCCTGCCTCTGCCTCTCAAGTGCTGGGATTAAAGGCGTGAACCACCACACCTGGAGTCACTACTATTTCAATGCTCTTTCTATTAGTACTCTTCTGGAGAACCCTAATACATTGTATTTTTAATGAATTGTTTTTTTAAAAAATGTCAACTAAAAAAAAAAAGACCACTGAACTACCCAAAAAACAAAATGAAAAAACACAAACTCATTTTTTGATTTTAGGCTTTTGCTGCCACCTAGTGAAATGCTGAAAACTTAATTATTCTGGAAAACAGGTCAAACAACAAAAAGAGCACGTCAACCTGAAGAGTGTATTTTAGTAATAAGGACATTATAGGTCACTTTTGTACAAATACACTTTTAAAATGTTTTCATTAAATTATACTCATACATTATAATTCATCAATTTAATCATTAATCACTAATCATTTAATCATTGTTTAATCCAAAAATTAATTTTTAAAATCTCTTGACTGAAAAAGGAAAAAGAATCAGAAACATTAAATTGCTTTTGTCATCAGGCTATACTAAATTTAGTGATTACCTGTGAAGAATCTGTATTTGGAAGTTTTTTTAAATCTTATTTATTTTATTATTTTTATTTTTCAATGTATATTTTATTGAATTTTTGTGCATTTCATATAAAACATCTTAATCATCTTTATATCCCAACCAGATTTCATGCATCCTATCATATATGTTAAGGCCTATGGAGTCAAGTTTGTATACCCAGATGTCCCCTGGTACAAGTTCATCCACTGGAGTCTAGTCAGCCTATCTAGAGTCCCTCCCTTAAAGAAGATCAACTCTCCCTCACCCATCAGTAATCAGCTGCCAATAGTTCTTTGGCTAAGCTTGGGGCCTACTGCCCATTTCTCCAGTTCTATGCTGGGTTTTTGTCTGATTGCTTTTGCATGGGTTTTGTGCATGCTCACAGCATTGTTGTAAGTTTAGATTATCAAGTTCCCAGAGGCCTGGAAGGTTGTTTCCTTATGATCATGAACCAACCCTGGCTTTTACAATTTTTCTACCTCTTCTTCTGCAGTGGTCCCAGAGCCATGGGATAGGTCAGGTTTAATACAGGAGTCCTATCCAGGGACACATTCTCTGCAGACTCTTATTCTCTACACTTTGCAATGGAATCTCTACACCTATGGTTCGTGGAACATAGCAGAACAGGGGGTAGAAAGAATACTAATGCATCTTTGAAGTCTCATGAGGGAAGCTTCCTCATGCAACAGAGTATCTGGAATTTTCAATCACAGCTGTCCCTCAGTATTCTCAGGAGGGCTGGCTAATAGGACTCTCCGTTCCCTCCCAATAGATACAATGAACTGAGGACGCACAGGTCCCATATGTAAAATGGTACGGTATTTGCATACAATGAATCACATCCTCTGTATACTTTAAATCATGGCTAGATTACTTATGACACATGATATAATACAACTGCCATGTAATCTATATCTAGTGAAGAATGGTAAGAAAAGTCTGCACATGTTTTCAGCATAGAACCAAGTTGTTGTTTTCATTTTCCTGAATATTTCGGACTGTAGTTGACTTCTAAACGCAAATATACAGAGACTTCTAAACCCAAAATATAAGCTAACTGTACTTACCAAAACTAATATTAACGATATAGTTAAAATAGTAACATCTGCTGAAAAAAAATCTACAGCCAGAACTCTTATCAATGAGGAATTGACTAGAAATAGTAGATAATAAGCTATGATTAAGCTTACCTGGGAAAAGATATTTGCTGTTGGAGCAACTCTGCTGTCCACAATACTATATAATATTGCTAATAATCTATCTAATGGAAATGATTTTGGTCCAAGAAGGTGATTGCTTGTCTGTAAAGAAAAAAGAAATCTAGTAAATCACTAGTAAATTACTAAATTTAGTAAATTACTAAATCAGTAGTAAATCTATTTATATTTATTCTCCTAAGCATGTTAACAAATTTAACCTGCAGTCCCAAGTTAAACCACTGTCTGATATAATCACGATTTATTGAATGTCATAAGACATTGGACTTATTTATTTTTATTTAATGTGTGTGAATGTTTAGCTTGCATGGATGTAAGTGCACCTGTGTTCTGCAATGTCCATGGAGGCCAGAAGCGGGCAAAGGATCCCGTGGAACTGGAGTTATAGCCCACTGTTAGCCACTGTGTGAGTGCTGGTAACCAAAGTCAGATCCTCTGCAAGAGCAGCAAGTGATCTTAACCACTGAGTCATTTCTTCAGCCCCATAATTTATCTTTTTGACATGCTTCTTAACATACATTAATTATACACAATAATGAATGTCTTATGATATTTTAAAAATATTTATTTTTATTTTATGTATATGAACGTTTTGCCGTCATGCATGTAAAGTGCACCCAACATGTGCATGCCTGGTACCCACAGAGTTGAGAAGAGGGCATTCGGATTCCCTTGAAACTGAAACTGCAGTTACAGTTGGTTGTGAGCTGCTAAGTGGGGGCTTGGACACCAATTTGGGTTGTTTTTAAGATTAGAAAGTGCTCTTAACCACTACACCATCTCTCCAGCACCTCATTGTGACATTTGAACACATGTACATAATACTTTCTGATGATATTCACCCCTCCATTACTCTCCCTTGCTGCCCTCTCACTCCTGCAGATCCCCTTCCTCTTCCCGGCTAGTCTTCTTTCTACTCATATGACTTTTTAAATTTTGATGACTCAATGAGGGTCATCAGGGTTGCTTACAGGAGCATGGGTATCTTATCAGGGGCTACACCAATGAAGAAAATGCATCTCTCTCCTCCAGCAATTATTAACTGCCTATAAATCCCCAGGGTCATGTCATGATTCTCTCCCCATTCCATGACAGGATGTTAAAGGGCCCCATCTTATGCAGTTAATGATAGACCTTTTAACAAATGACTTAATTTTTTTAGTACCATTAACATAAAAAAACTCTACCATCTGTAGTCCTGAACATTGCTACCCTGCTACTGTGACCAGATGTTAAACAACTTTGCCAAATGATTTTCCATGATAATGTATAACCGCAGTCAGGTTCATAGCTCCTGGACTAGAATTCGCTACTTCATCCATACCATTCCTCTTTGGACTATTTCCTGGAAAGGGTACTGGTTCAATATTAATAATTTTTAAAAAGATCAATTATCACAAATATGATTTCAGTTTTGAATATAAAACATTGTATAATTTGTAAATAAGCTATCAGCCGGAAATAAAATTTATAAAAACTTAAAGATTATAAAATGTTCATAGTTGCATGTACTTATATGGTACAACTGAATCATTAAAAAATCACAGCTCTTGAAGTTCTATTAGCAGATAATTTCAAAAGCAGGTAAGAATGTAAGAACTTCCTAACAGTGGCAAATAAAGTGAGAAACTTCATGCATGGTAGGAATTACATATTTTAAAAAAGAATGACTACAAAACACACTTTAAATTTATAAAATGCAGTATTTACCACAGCTATTTTTAGCTGATAGTTTAGAAATTATTTTCCAGGTTTTAAATTTTGTGTTTTTCTCATTAATACTTCAAACATTTAAAAAAAAGTAGAGGTTTAATATAAACACCAATGCACTCACTAACCAATTTTACCAAATCCAAATATTACATAATATATACTTAGGAATAAAAGCTTAGATATCACATTACCAATGAATTGAAACCCTCTGAATCCTTTCCCATTTCATTTCCTCTTCTAAGAAATTGATATCTAGAAGGAATTGTTATCTAGACTTTGATGTTATCATTCTCATGATATTTTTCACACTACTGGTGCTATCTATTAAAAATACAGTCCTGGGGCTGGAGAGATGGCTCAGCAATTAAGAGCACTGAGTGCTCTTGCAGAGGACCTGGGTTCAATTCCCAGCACTCACATGGCAGCTATGAACCATCCTTAACTCCAGTTCCAGGGGAATCCAAAGCCCTCTTCTGACCTCTGTGGCACTGCATGACACTGCTGAACTCACATACATGCAGGAAATACACTCATACACATAAAATAAAAATAATAAATAAAAAAAACATAAAATAAAAAAAGTAAAAATACAGTCTTGTGTAACTTAAAATTTCATAAAAATTCTATCATCTTGAACACAGTTTTTTGCTTTTTCTCTTCCACAATGTTTTCTGAGATTTATCCATATAGCTAACAGCTTTGATCCACTTTTATCTCCCCCATTTTTACGACTATATCACTACTATATCTACTTTTAAAAAAACCTATCACTATCATAAATACACTGCAACTGACAATCGTGCACATTTCTCCTTGCATATGCTTGTTTCTCCTGTTGGGATGGCTAGATTGAAGTACAGGACAAAGACAATGCTACGTATTTGTCAATGCTGGTTTTTCTTCTTAGACAAACATGAAGTCTTCATGTCTCCCTTTCGCCTAGAGGAGGAGGGCATGTAACTGAGTTCTGGCTGCTGGAATATGAGTAGAGTGATATGAGTACTTTACTTCCAAACCCTGGGCTTTTCAAACCACTGGGGACTTTTCTCCTGTTCCTTTTGTGTTAACTTCGCTGGCCACTTGTCTCACTTGACACCACTGTAAGATGAAAGATGTATCCAACTCACATTCAGTTATATTGTGAGCAATATATAAATGCTGTTGTGTTAAGCCATGCAGAGTTGGGGTTTTTGTTTGTTTGCTTTGTTCTGGCTACAGCACAGTCTAGGCTATCGTTTACCAATACGAAGTTCACTCACATTTAACGTCATTAGGTAATGCCAACGTACAGAGTAGCTACGCAGGCTCTGTTTTATAGTGCCTGATTTATAGTATCATTTGTACTTAGATTCATTTTTTTCTCTCTCTTAAATTCTGTCAGTCCAGGAGTGTGAAAGTCTCACTGTCATAATTTGCATCTCACTAGTGAAGCTGATATTCAAGCTCCTTTTTCTCATTTATCCCTTTGTCTTTTTGTAAGTGGTTTGTAAAAACTGGAATTGGATGCCGATTCTATTTAATTTCTCTTTAATACTCAAAGCTAAAGAACAAATAAAACAACAGAGCTGAAGAAATTATCCCTGGTATTTAAAGTACACAGAGACCAAAGGAAAGGAGAATGTGAATGACTCTGAACAAGATAACTGTTCCAACACATCAACTCAAGGCCTTAGGAAGACATAGTAGGCAATATGTGAAAAGTTAATGTCAGAATTTATTGGGATCCAGAAGACATCACTATTTAAAATTCAAAGCCGAAACTAATCACAACAGCAAATTCAATCCCAGATAAATCACAGCTAAACTGTAATAATAACAAAGGAAAAGAGAAATTATAAGCAGCTAGAGAATATAGACATCAAAAAAGGAATAAAAGATTAATAGACTTTTTTTGTTTTTGTTTTAGAAGCAACAACAAAAGGCAAAATATTAAAATATTGTCTTTAAAGGCTTATGAAAAACATGAGTAATTTAGAAGTATATACTGACCTGCTTATATGAGTGAGTGAAAAACAGCTCACAGTGACAACAGTGTAAACTCAAAGTTCTCCATCTTCAGCTGAGAAGTAGTATGTCAAGTGGCTGGACCGCTGTGGCCATTTTGAAGATCTATCCACCTTGCCTCACTAACTTGTCCTCAAAAACACTTAGTGCGTCTAATACTGGAGCTTTTCCAGATTCTTTAGGCAAAATTAGCTTGGTTTTAGACTTTGGTTTTAGCTTCCTTTGATCTGTTTAGTGACCTGAATATTTATCTACTCTGCCAGGGCTCTTAAATTTTTCGCACTTGTGACTTCTTTACGCCAGAAAAAATTTTATGTGAGCTCATATATAAAAGTACACTAAAAAGGAATACCAATCACTTACTGATAATAAATCATAAATAAATTCACCTAAAACAAATTCTTTGCTACACATATAACCTTAGCACGAATTAAAGACAAAAGTAAATTTGCACAGTAGTGAGATGGATGTGCTTACATAAATAATTACATCTTGACTGACTATCTGAGCAGCATATAGAGCAGCTTTAATGTTTGGCAGAGCTGAATGATATTTTGACTTTTATCATCATCACTGCTGAGAATGTGTCTTTGCATAAACACACAGAACAAAATAGCAGAAACATATTTAGGACCATTTCAGAAACTGCTAGAAATTCTGTCTTAATCCCAATCTAAATTTTATTTACCTCAAAACCAGCAACTCAAAAAACAATTTTTAAAATCAAACATTCTAACATGATACAATCCAAAGATAAACATGCTGAGGAATGATAGTTGAAAAATATTGTCTTTGTTTCCCATAATTAAGCCATATGTTCAAGAGCAAGAACTGTTTGTACAGTAAAAACACTGTGCTTCAGAACACACCAATAGCCTCAAATCAAGATATGCATGTTTCAAAACGCAGGATGGCGGCATGTTCAGTGCATATGCTGTGTGCTCAGAACTGAGGTTGCTGTGGAGCTCACCTACAAAGGTAGGTGAGCACTGACACAAACACCTTGGGCTCATTATGTATCTGATTTTGAATTAAATTTTGGTTGTTGCCTATTCAGAAGTCATTTACTGTTGTCATATGGGGTCAAGACCCACAGTTTAAGAAGTTGTATACTATGTCATTTCAAATTTCCAAACTGTGAGAATCTCTTATCTGCTAGTAGTCTTAATGGGGTTCCCATTTTTATTTCTTCAATGTCATTTTTGTGGGTATTTAAGAGTGGAAAAGAAGAAAACTGTATTCATTTGTAGTTAGCCAGACAATTTAGGATGATCTTTTTCATCAACTAATTCATTAAAAAACTTTGTCAACTAAGTTTTATCTCTAGTACAAGCATATACTTAGCAATATAACATTACAATATTACATGGTACCATTCTCAACAAAAAATTTCTCATATGGAAATTTAATTACATATTCATCCATTTCCTACACGATCCTAAATTCATGTTTCTCCCATTAGAGAATGTAAGACATAAATACCTTTTCATGTTTCTTTAGAAAGTTGGTTTTCTTTATTTTTCCATGATGCTGCAATTAAGGAAAATTATTTTTTAGATTAAGACGATAAGATCAGAAAAAAATCTGTTGAAAAGATGGCACACACACAATACTAATTATGTATGTTAGGCTTTCAGAAATTTTATTTTACTTATTAACGTGCATATATTAGACTTTGATATGTTTTAGGTGGGCTTAGATTTAGACTTGACACTGGATTACTTTGCACACTAGCAAGGTTAAAAACACAACAGTGATATTTCTTAAAAGTATTTATTCATCTCTTAAAGGAAGGTGATAATTCATATATAAAAAGAATACTTGAACTAAGAACACTTGAACACCAGAGATTCAGTAGTGGGGGACAACTAGTTGTTGTCTTTGCCCTCACAAGACCAGTGACAAATGACAAAAAAGAAAAAAGAAAAAAAATTTCTTATAAATTGTTTTAAGTCTGACAAAGAAAAAAGTATCATGTGACACAGAAGAGAGGAAAGCTCCAAGAAGGCAACATTTAACAGAAACCTGAGGGATGACGAGTAGGGAAATAGTTTTTCAGAAAGAATACATACAGAGACCTTAAGAGGGATGGTTGAGTGGTTACATGATGGCTGGAGTTCAGATCCCCAGAGCCTACATAAATTTTAGGTGGGCACGGCAGTCTACAAGTAATTCCACCTTGGAAGGTAGAGACAGGGTATCCCTGAGCAACTGGTTAGCAAGACCAGGCCTATCAGTGAGCTCTGGGTTTGACTAAGAGACTCAAAGATGATGTCCAACATGTACCTCAGGCCTCCATATGCACACATGTGCCCACACACACAAAAGTGAAAAAAGAAAAAAAAAATGAGGAGAATGTTTTGAGGGAGTGAAAAAGGTTTGTACTTACAACTTATACCCAATTTCCTCTCTTCTGTGAAACTATCTCTCTTCTCTGCAAGTTCAGGTTGTCATCTTAAAGCTATTACAGAATGAGGCCTAAATAAACATTTACCAATTTCTTATTCTAATCTCTGCCCTTAAAATTTTATAGAGAAACATCAAAGTATCCATAGAGGACTGAGGACCTCTCAGATACCCAAATCCAAGGATATTCAAGTCCTTTAAGTAAAAAAGTGTGCTATAATGTACTGTGTTCTTTAAACAGTCTCTAGATTACCTATAAAATTTAAGAGCTATCAAAATTACTGATATATTGTTTATAGAATAATGACCAGAAAAATATTTTTACATGTTCAGTATAGAACAAATTTTTTAAACTTCAGTCAGACGTTTGAATATGCAAGAAAATAACCTATAGATACAGAAGGCCAACTGTATCCCTGGGATTTAAAATACAAAGTGAAAAGAAATATGTTACTATTACCTTAAGGAAGAACCTCTTGTCAGTTCTTGCTGGGTTATATGAGGCAAGGTATGCAGCAATAAGAATAAACTTAGAGTAATATGGAAGTTCCACATGAGTGTACGCCGAGAGACCTGCACAATGAAACACACTCAGGACAATTATTTCTCAGGCTGCTGTTAGGTTTAAGTATCTTGATTCCTACTCTGCATATTTCACATGTATCCCGGTAATAATATATACCTTAGGTTAACAGCTAATTTGACATAAATTACAATACCTACTAATGTGCATTTTCCACGGAAAGATCTACAGTTAGCATACTTTTTGGTATCCTTACAATTCCATGCACACAAGAAATTTAAAAATGAATGAATAAAAAGAGTCAATCAAGCAGAAATGATTCTTAAAGAGAACGAATTTAATATTTATCAAATATCTACTATGTGTCAGTCATGTGCTAGGTGGCTTACTTAAGTATCACTTTAAATCTCTGCAGTAACTTAAAGGTAGCTATCTCTCCCATATAGAGATGAAGAAACTGATCTGGGTTTGAAGTCTCATGGGAAGAGAGCATTTTTCCTAACTTTAGTCATTTATCTTTCTCTCCTACAATAGCTGTTAAAAATCACTTGAAAACCACCTGAAGCATTCAGAAATCGGAGACAAAACAATCTCAACACCATCATTTCATGCCCTTTCCCAAATAAAAACCTTTAAATCTTTGAAAAAAAAAAAAAAGAAGATTTTAGATATTCACTTTTAAAAAAGTAAAGTCTGCTTTGTTTGGAATAAATGCAAAGCCAGAATTTTTAAAAAGAAAACAAAAGCACAATGCTTTGAAAACATAACCACTGAAGTGTACCCTTAAACTGAATATAAAATTAGATTTTATTCCATACAACTTAAAGTATGTACATATACTGAGTTAAAGTTGTATCATATAACTGGATTCTTTTGGTAAAAATACTGAAAGAATTATTAATTGCTTGATTTTTACAAGCCACAATCCACTATTTAGAAAATTTTAAATTGGTATTCTGTTGAAAGAAAATTATTAATCAAAATATCCTAACAACTTGAAAAGTACACTCTCTTTTCAAACTGTATTTTCCAACTGATTGTTCTGTAATATTAATCATCACAGTCATAATAGTTAAAGAGGTGTCCCTGATAATTATCTCAATACTGTCCCGATACCTTTCAGCTGTCCTGGGTCTGTGTCATCTTTCTGTAGCTTTTCCCACTGGGAACTAAGATAAAATATAAGAGCAAGAATGGATTAGAAAATATATGAAATCAATATGCTGTCATAAAGAGAGCCCTACAGAAGCTAAACATTTTCATCTATTGACAAATTAGAAAACAAGAAAAATAATACATATATGCAATATACATGTTTGTGCCTGTATGAAATCATTTGATATGTAACTATGAACTTACAAAATAATGCTCAGATGTTAATGTTTTAATAATCTCTTTGATCATAAGTGTAAAACAATCAAAAAGCACCAAACATTCAGTCAAACTCCCAACAGTTCTAGGTATCATTTAAACTATGTAATAGTCAATTGAAACAAGTATGATCGGATCAAAACATTAAGACCTAAGGTTATGTTGTTCAAGAACATATACTTAAGAGTGGAACTCATATATATGAAAGTATATATTTTTTAAAGGAGATGGAAGAGAAGACAAATTATAAAGATGGTTAGAAATAAGCTAGAAGGATACAGAAAGTTGCTGGGGTTTTTTCAGTATACTTTTTAAAAAGTCTTAGTTTTTCACGTATTCTTTGGCTTTCATCGCTTACCTGTATAACAATATATTCTCCTTTATTTTTTCTCTCTTCATGTCCCTTTTTAAAAGTTATAATAGCAATAGTTTATCAGGAATACTTATATACTATTCTACTCTCCTACTTGCTTTTATTTTCTTTTGAGCTAAAATTAAATTCAATGCGTATCATCAATCTTTTGGCTTAAGTTTCAATGGTCATCTGGTCTTGGTAAGACTATCACTAGCAGATTACTCAGAAATGCCCTATGAATATTATTTCCTACTTAATTCCATGTTTAAACTGTTTTCTACAGCATTGATATTTCATTGATAGGTTTAATAAACATAAGTATTTTGGCTTTGCTTTTTTTGTGTCTCGAAAATGTTTATCAATTTGTTATCTGGTTGTATTACTTTATTTTGTGAATGACTTATTGCTAGTAAGATTAGAGATTTTTTTCCTTTATTTTTAAAGTCTAAAGACTTTATAAGTCTCAGTAGTAGACTGAATAATGCTTCCTTTAAAGATGTGAACATCCAGGTTCACATGTTGTCTTATGTGGAAAAAAAAAAGGACTTAACAGATGTGGCTGAGTCAGATCTTGAGATAGAAAATTTACACTGGGTTATTCAAGGAGTCCCCAGGAAATCACAGGGATCCTTCCAAGAGGAAGATGAGGTCAGAGAGAACAGAAGATGCTACACTGCTGGCTTAAAGATTAAGCAAAGAGCCACATCTAAGGAATGTAGCACCTTCCAGAGCTGTAGGAATGCAATCCCATTTTAGACTTCTGACATTCCATCTGAACTCTAAGATAATGTGCTATTTCAAATCACTAAATCCACGATAATTTCTTACAATGTACTAGACTGGTGTAGTCTCCAAACTGACCATTCTGGATTGGGAAGCTAAACCCTCCTACTGTATAAAGGTAGGTCTTCTTTTATATCCCACTTTTAGACTTATTCTAGTCCATTGTTTTCTATTTTCATGAATTACAACTATGTATGTTGAACCTTGTTTCCTTACCATATTTAAGTGAAGAAGGAGAAGGGAAAATACATACACACTTTAGTTGGTGTTTTTGTTTTGTTAAGACTCTGATATGAAGTTTAAACAGGTTAGGAATTTGGAATATTTTGGATTTCAGACTTTTAGATTAGAGATGCTCAACAAGCAAATTCCACTCATTTTAAAGTTACAAAATCTGAAGTTTGCAACACCTTGGATGTGAGACACAACATGTGAAACACATTAAATAAAGAGAAATTACCTTGATATTTCCCTGAGATAAACAGTCTGCATAGCTTTCTTCAAATGAGGTTCAATATTTCTCCACAGTTTGCGAGTATCACGTTCACCTGCTACTCCCAGGAGAAAATTTCAATAATTCAGATTTTATAATTTTTTTTCCTCAAATGAAATATTAATAATTATACTTATTACCTTCTCCTTTAACCACAGGTTCACAATATTTGGGGAAATTAAGTACTGCCTATGAATTAAAAGGAGAGAAGACATAAAGCAGGAAACAATCATTGCTAGAAATTTATTTTTCTAAGTTAAATTTTTATTACAAATTAAGTGATTTTATTTAAATAGAACTTTTTGAGTAACATATAATCATAGCTTATTACTATAATAAAACAGCAAAAACATCAATAATGGTAGTACATCAGCATATTCTATATTGGCTAGATACTACCTAACACATTATGTTCACATAAAATAACCTAGGGGTCCTAATGGTGCCTCATAGGACTATAAAACATTTAATAAAAAACTCAAGGCCAAACAACCACTGTTTTCTAACATCTGAACATGATCATGAGTTAAATACCAAGTTCAGTTGCAGTTCTTTCTGAGATTTTTACACATGTAAGTTCTTGGCATTATTCTAGACATGCAAAAATCAAGCTAAGGATAAGATGCAAGAAATTATTATCTGTTTTAACAATCTCCCCAGAAACTCTATACAGTCTGAAGTTTGAGAAGCACTAACTAATCACAACTACTTAGTAGTTTTTCATACTACAATCCTGTAGAAGTGTGAACAAATTGTTTATTTTTTTTAAAAAAAGAGATAATAATGCCATTTATTAATATTAACTTTGCCAAGTATTTTATATTCAAATAATTTAATAATAGAGCCTAGAGACAAGATAGGCATGATGATATAGCTTCATAAACTCAAATTCAGGGGATATTTAGCACTAAAGTTAATAGGAGAAAGGAATTAAAAGAAATTTTCACATCAGCTAACCTTCTTGCCCTAATTTTAGATTTTTAGATATAAGCACTGGCCAGTAACACTAAGACATTATAATGTTAACACCAGCAGGCTGATAACAGCCAAATCAAAATATACTGATCTACAATATCATGCCTATTTTTTTCTATATAATTCTCAAATATAAGAATTATAGCCCTAGTTTTCAAGAAAAAGAAAATGGTAAGGCTGCTAATAAATTACTCCAAAACCAAGCAGATATCATTTTAGACTGGTTTTGTTATTATAAATTTTCGCTATCAGTGCATATTTCCTCACACATCCCTGTTATCAGTCCTCAACTTTTAAATACATAGCAATTCTTAAATGGTTTCATGAATAAAACGGAGAGGCAACAGTATTAAGAAATGACTACATGCTCAGTGAATATTCATGATCACTCACCAGATGTCTAAGCTCTTTCAAATCTCGACAAACAGTATAGAAAACTCCAAGAAGAATATTAATGTAGGCAGCATAAAAATCAGCTGAGTACTCAGGAGGATGATCATGGGACAGGATCTTTTGAAGGTTTCCTGTTCACAGGACACAAATTAACTAAAAGGATCACCATAATACCCTAATCAGATGTTCTAGAATTTTATAACAAAGGTTTAAAAAACAAATATTCAGGTCTAAAATTATTAAGGAATAATAAAGCTGTTACCAGATTAGAAAAGTATATTTTTTTTCTACCAGTTACTGGCATAGAGCTTCCAAAATTCTTAGCATTTCCTAAGTGATAGGGTAAGTAAGTCCCTTCCAAATGTACCCGAGCTTATACTAATGAGGTGACCCTGAGTGAGCCTCTGGACAGCTGCAGGGTGAGAACAGTGGCTAGAGCTCCTACTTCCTGACCTTCAGAGAGAAGGAAAAGGCTGAAAAACAAGTTCATCACCAACGGGCAATGACCGTCAATTGCACCTATGCAGAAGAGGCTCCATAAAAACTGCAATGATGGGCTTCCAGACACAGCTCAGGTTGGTGAATAAACTCACATGCTGGGAAAGTAGGCCACAACTCCACAGGGACAGAAGTTTCTAAGCTTGGAATCTCCCTGGACCTCACTTTTGTACCTCTTAATCCAACTATTCATATCTATCTTTTAAAATGTCCTTTACAGCACTGATAGTAGTAAGGACAGCACTTTCTTGAGTTCTCTGAGCCATTTGGGAACATTATCAACCAGAAGAGGAGAACTCATAGAAGCCCTCAATTACAGTTAATTTTCAGAAGTACAAGTGGAAATTTTGCCCTTGGAAGTGGTATTTACAGAGGGAGCAGTTCTGGAAGACAGAGCCTGTAACCTGTGATGTCTATACTGACTCCTGGTAGATAGTATAAAACTGAATGGAATTACCCACTGGTGACCAATTAAGAAAACTGGTTGTTGGGTGGAGGGAAAAATGTAATCCCACAAATTTATCAAAAGTGTTTTCAGTGGAAACAATCATAAAGAGTAATATACGTGAAGCTAAAAGTCAAAACACAAATATTCTAAAAAGAATCATTAAATATTATTGAAGACAAATATAAAACGACATCTAAAGACAAGCTCAAGAAACTGTATTAGCTAGCAAAATGAAAATCAAAGGTAAAAATAATATGGGCTCTAACTTATGTTTTGCCTATTAAATATATCAACTAGGAAAATTAACATGTAAACTCCCCAAAACTAGAAAATGGTCTTCGATTCTTGAAAAAGGAAAGGAATTCATTAGGCCTTTTCACAGTAGTCATCACCTGATCTCAATCTGTATCTTCTTACTACTCCTTTTGAGATTTGTGTTTCTTTCTGACAACTCTGATATTTAATGACACCAAATACTTCTACAGCTCATTCTCTTCATATGTTATATGTCTATGCCCTAGCCTTATGCTAACATGCTGAAAATACCGCAGAAACACAGTTAAACTATTGAGAACTAACCACCACTCAAAATCCCCCAGTCACAGTATGTGAAGCAGTAAGTCATTCCTCAATGCAGCATCCTCTGGCTTCGAGATATAACGGTCTCCTCAGACTTCTCAGTTAACTCTCTGACCCGTGACTAGAGTGTCACATCTACTTTCAGAAGCTATAGGTGTTTTGTAATAATTTCATGTAAAAACTCTTTTAAGATGTCCTGATTACTTTCCTTTTATTTAAAGTTCTCATTAACTGAACATTTAAGGCATGCCATTTACTATCAGCTCTCGATTTTAACTACTCTCTCATTCCTGACATCATTTAGATATAGATTAAAGGGATATTTTAAACAAAGAAGAAAAAAAAAAAAAATTTCAAAGCCTACAGAACATCATCTTAAGGGGATACTAGATGGAAGACTTATTTTCATATCAAAACTACTAAGAAAAAAATACATAAAGTTAAAACTTGATTTTTTAAATCTATGTATTTTTGCATTCTGCTATTAAAATTATATATAAAAATTATCAGCTGGGCGTGGTGGTGCACACCTGTAGTCCCGACACTTGGGGGGCAGAAGCAGGCGGGTCTCTGTGAGTTCAAGGCCTGCCTGGTCTACATAGTGAGTTCCAGGCCAGCTGGGGCTACAAGGAGACCCTGCCTCAAAAAGACCAAAAAAAAAAAAAAAAAAAAAAAAAAAAAAAAAAAAAAATCAAGTAACTGGATGGATGAAAAGAGGAGAGCAAAAGGGAGGAATTGGATGAGAAACATCCCTAAGAATCCCAACTCTCACTGACTTGCTATAAAAATAGCCTAGCTGCTTGAGAATAGACTATGGACAGAATCTGAGTCTGGTCTATATTAAGCAAGTCACGACAGATCAACCACTCAAAGTCATGAAAAACACTCATTCCTCACAAACAACCAAAAACAGGGCACCACCAGGCAGCAAACAAAGGGGAAAGAGAAACCTTTTGAGTGGTCTGAGTGCCCTACAATTTTGCATTTGGGCATGATGTAGTACACAGAGAAAAGCCATTCCTAACTTGGAGAGCAGAGAAATACTTTTCTGTAATGAACAATTAAAAGTAGGTGTAATACACAGAACAACCCTTTTTAAACTTTGAAGAGACAAAGGACTGTAATAGCTGAGAGAAGGCAAGTCCTATCATGAGCCAACTTTTCTAACCAGAGGTAATTTAAGACTGGAGTACAAGGGAAGTCCCAACAGAGCCCAAGAATCTCCTTGAGTTGAGGAGACCGAAGGTAGAGTAGAAGGAATTATTAAGAAAGCTTGAATTTGCAGGCAGAGCATCTAAGACAACAAAGCCATGCAGAGAGCATCAGAAATCTGCAAAGAGGGTCCAGACTTAACACCAATCTGTATATGCACAGGGTAAAATACCGTAAAGTCAAATAAAAACTTTGGTTGGGGTGGAGGGCAGGACACAAAAAATAATAATAGAGAACTGAAGGTCAGACAATTTCCAGCACTCACAAAGGGCTGTGATTTTTCATGTTGCTTCCAGGCAGAATGCAGAGACCATGCCAGAAACATGGGGTATTCATTAGATTTCAAAAGGGCTGGGACTTAGAAATGGAGCTAAAATTAACCCTGGAATAAAGGCTTCCTAGATCCCTTCTCTCAAAACATATCAAACACAACTTCAAAATGGTCAAGTCTCAATGTCTATGATTCAGTTAAAAAAAAAAAAAAGACTAGATACATGAAGATGACAAATACACAAAATAGAGAAAACCTAAGTCAACAGAAACAAACCCAAATTGAGTGAGGTAATAGCATTAGATTATAAGTATGTTCACATGCTCAAGAATGAGAATAAGGGGGGGGGGGAAGCAAAGAGAGCTATATAATGAAAAATTCCAGAGGGTGCAATAACTTCAGGAAAAAAGGTGATGAATTTAAAGACAGAAATAAAAATGTCGTTTAGGTAGGCCTGTTTGCTGCAGTTCTTGTATTGTCTGAATATTAGCCACTTTTCTGGTTAATTTCTGAATAGAGGCTTATTCAGGAATCCTTTCCTGGGTCTATGTTTTTTTTTTTTTTTACAGTGCTGCCTAAGTTTTCGTCTAGCAGTTTTAGAGTTTCAGGTATCACACTGAAGTCTCTGATACATTTCAAGTTGACTTTTGTTCAGGGTGGGTGATAGCTATAGTTCCAATTTCATTCTTCTTCCTTTTCCCAGAACCTTGTTAAAGATTCTGTCTTTCCCTCACGTGTAGTTTTCGGCATGGCATCTTTGGCAAAATTCAGATAGCTGTAATTACACTCACTCATGAGTGGGATTCCCTTTTTCTCTATTGATCTACATCTCTGTTTTTGTACCAATACCATGCTTTTTATTTATATTTATTTATTTATTTATTTATTTATTTATTTAGGTTTTTTTGAGACAGGGTCTCCCTGTAGCCACAGCTGTCCTGGAACCCACTATGTAGACCAGGCTGGTCTTGAACTTACAGAGATCCACCTACCTGCCTCTGCCTCCCCAGGGCTGGGATTAAAAGCATGGGCCACTACGCCTGGCTAGGAAAGATGATTTTTAAGGTAAAATAAATGGTGGGACATTAAGTGGTTTAACATAAATATAATACAGTCCTAGGAAAATGAAAAGCTGTAAGTGGGGAAAAAATACATGAAGAAATAATGCCTAGTTTTCCTTAGATAAACCTATACATTTATAGATCAAAAAGTCACACACACACACATAAATCCTAAGCAGAATATACAATAAAAGGTATTTTATTTCTTGCATTTTATTTCATTAAAGCCAGAAGAATGTTATAAGCTTGTAATAAATACTAAAATGAGGTTATAATAAAGGTAGAAGGAATTTGTAGACATATGTGAGGTAGGAAGTCATAAGTCATCAAAATTCCCAAATTGTTATCAGAACCTGACCTATTCTGACAATAATTAAACCACATCTAAACAGAGCATTATAATCTATTTGGAGGAAAACCAAACCAAAACAAACATATTTAAGTCTTTTACATGTGGTAAAGACCCCCAAATTGGACCTCTAACTATAACTACTGAGGAGAGCAGTTCTTAAAATCAGAACCAATCCCGAAAGATAACACACTATCAAGTGACCATGACAGAATGACAGTAACCACTAATGCCTTTGCCCTGGCTCTCCACCCTTACCTACTGTGACCATAATTTGGTTTTCCAATTAATGTTTCATCCTCGAATAGAAAACATGATTATAGTATTTATTCTTTAAATGTAAAAGGTCTTATATGTAAAATAGCTCTATTATTTAGTTTTCAAGTCTATTTCCTACACTAGAATATTAGATTTATTTTTTATCTACTATATTTTATCTACCATATTTTATCAAACTCCATCCATGCTGCTTTATATGTTTAAAAGAATTTAACCAGATTGTACAATTATATCATACTTTTAACTTCACAATGTAGAAAAGCCAACAAAAATTCATAATTATCTTAAATTCAGCTGGAGAAATAGCTCAGCAGTTAAGAGCATTGGATGCTTTTACAGAGGACCCAGGTTCAGTTCCCAGTATCCACATGGTGGCTAACAATCATCTAGAATTCTAATTCCAGGAGATCAAGTGCCCCCTTCTGGCTTCCACAGACATTGCACACATATGGTACACTTACATACATACAGGCAAAACACTTATACAAAATACACATAAAAATATATAAATTTAAAAAATGGCATTAAAGGTGTCTATAGAGACTAATCATATATATATAAAGCCTTCCGATACTTAAAAATAAAATAGGGAATGAAAAAAATGTCCCCTCAATGGTGACATGAATTCAAATGGATTTTTAAATGAAAACCTTTGATTTATATCTTTTCCCCTATTCTTTTCTTTTTTTCCTTATTTTGTGATTTTCTCAGATGACAAGCTATTGACAAAAGCTCTCCAATTATTTTGAGTTCCTTAAAAAAACAAGAACAAAACCCCCACTCAATTATCTAAAGCAGGAGGTGTTATTTGGCTTCTATTCTTGTGAAAATAGTCAATGAATGTTCATCACTGATTAGATGAAGAGGACAGTGCTAACAAAGCCAGGGATGCTATGGGATGCTATTTTCTCACAGCCTCCTAACCACCTTATGCTTCACAGTTATAATCTGAGTCAGAAGTATCATCTTTGTATTGTGATAGCTGAAAATTAATTAATCCACAATCAATTCAACAACAGAAAAAGCACTATGCTCTTCCAAGAAGACAAATTATTAGGATCAATAAAAATTAAGATAAAATATAATCCCCAATAAAATAAACACAAGAACAAGCATTAAGAGTTACAGTCATGACAAAGGAGATTTATAAAATCAAGATTCATTCAACTTGGCACTTAGCCCAAGTATATGAAAAATAAAAAAGTCAGTATCATTTTAATATGCTTTACCAATCTAGTCTGATACTTATTTGTGTGGATGTTATAATCACAATATATATATATTAATTAACTAAAAATAATAGAAATATAACTTTAGCAGAAATATGAGACTTGTTCATTCAAAAGAGAATTGTAATTAGGAGAATAACCCCCCAGTTTCAAAATAAAACTGTGAATGCAGAAATATAAGTATTTTACTTGAGATTGGCAACAACTTTAACAGTTTAAAACATTGAAATATATCTATTTGTACATGTTTTTGAGCATCAAAAAACTTTTACTGAGGATTATTTGCCAAAACAGTTAAAATTTACCTATGCTATAATCAGGGAAATATAAGACAAATGGCTCCAAACATCCAGTATTTGGACGAAACTTTTCCCAAATAATCTCACTCAGAAAGATAACAGTCACATTTCTGTCAGTCTGGAAAAGAAAAAGGAATAAAAGTAATTTACTATCTAAAATTAAAATCTTAGAGCAATAATTCCATTTGGATTTTTCTTCAACTAAGTTCAACGACACTTAACACACCTAACAAGCTATTTGCATATTAATAAACCATACTTAGAAAACCTAATCAAAGAGTTCAACCATTTGCAAGTTTTCATCCATATCTGCTTGAATTTCCATAAAACTGTTGGTTGATCAACATTTCAGTTACTCATGAATGCTAGGGCAGTTTTACAAAGACCTATTTCATAGAAATTAAGAAACAAATCTACCTCAAAAATCCTTTTTTTTTAAAAAATCATAAGCTTTCAATAAATAAATAGATAGCTATAGCAACTCAGAGAAAAGGAAAATGGGTTGAAGAAAAGTAATACACCGTATTATAGAACCTCCTATTACTAAGAAACATTAACATTTTCTCAGTCTTTTTTAATTTATTGAGAAAAACTAATGTTCAATATACACTAAAATTGCAAACAACTGAATATGAGTATCAAAAAAGCTAATGCTGAGTAAAACAGGTATCTTTAAAAATATATTTAAGAATTACAATTAGTTCACCAAAAGAAATAATAAAAGAACCCAGCACATCTATTATCCTATAACAGACAGGCCAAAAATGCTGTGCATGCTAGCCAAAGTTTATCTGCAGGTATCTCTACAGTTTTTCACAAGGATTTTCACTTTCCAACATGCTCTCTGACAATTTCTAGACTGACAAAGCAAACATGATAGCTGCTTTTGTCTATATATTCTTGGGACTCAGTCTCACACAGAAATGGCACTAGACTTTCATGACAATTAACTATTCATTGATTTCTCACTTGTGTGCTTCCTATATATGGATTTTTATTAGAAAAGTATTCCTTTGGTTAACAAACACAGCTGAATTCAATAAATGAATGATAACATAGAAAATCTGTCATCTTTATGAGAGAAAGGAAAAGATTTAAAATCTTTTTTTTCTTCACATATGCTAGGCAAGCATTTGACCAATGAGCTATAACCCCAGTTTAAGAGACTACTTTTCAATTGTTTTTGCCTTAAAAACTCATTATGAAGAATCTCTGCATTTAATTGGAGTAAAAAGCTATGCTCTATCCACAATCTTAAAGCTCATGGAAGAAGCATCATGTTTATTTATTTAGTGTATGTGTGTGGGTTGACGCACATAAAATGTCACAAGTGTGAGTATCAGGAGACACTTGTGGGAGCTGGCATTAACCTTCTACTATGCGTGTTCTGGGATGGAACTCAGGTCAATAGATATGGCACTCTTGAACAATGAGTGATTTCACCAGTCCAAAAAGGCATTTTATAAAATTAGTTAAACATATATTGAGAGGTTTTAAAAGAAAAATCCAACATTTAAAACTAGTAATGTTTTTAACTATTCAACTGAAAATACTTCAATATATAATGACTTATCATAATTAAAATTTCTTTTGACTCAGATACTTAATATAAAAAAAATTAATGCTTCTATTAAGTTTCTCTTCATGAAATACATTTGAAAATCAAGCATGTTTTCAGAAATGTCAAAATAATGACTCTTAAGGAAAATAGCTTTAGATACTTAAGTGACAATTGAATTTATTCTTATAATTGTTTTAATAGCTTTTGTATAATCTTCATTGCTATTATGAGATATAAAATGTATTTATCAAATCTGTAATCATTATGCCAAAAAATCTGAATTACTGTAATATTTTGTATATTGTTAAAACTGTAACTTTAATTGTAAAAAAGAAAAAAATTAAAAAAAAGTTTTTAAAGAAAGTCTCAAGATGAAAAAAAAATAATAATAAAGTATTTAAAAAAAATAATGACTCTTTTCTGGCAAAGTTGAAATTACTGCAAATCTTTAAATTTTCTCCAAATAGTATCTATAATTAACACTGAAAACAAGAATGAAAGGCCTAATTACTCTGAAGGATGCTTCAACACCATTACTGGGCATGTGGAGCAAAAATAAAGAACAAGAGGGTAAGGATGTACTCTGGGTACCAGATGTAGAGTTCTAGAACAAATGGTAAATACTGGATGAGGTCATGCAAAAAACCTATAGACACAAACACAAAACTACATGAAAGGAAAAAAAAAAAAAAAAAAAAGGAGACATCTATCCAAAACAGACAGGTACCTCATCAGAGTAATAAAATGCCAAGAGTTAGCCACAGTCCCCCAATAGCTACTTACTGTCCTCTTGACCCACCTACATCTCCCCTCCTCAACTATTACTAAATGTGAACCAATGAGTCCATTGTTAGGACACAAGGATTTCAGAGGCAGTTTGAAGCCTGTCTTAGAAGGTGCTGGGCCAAGGGAAATGGAATTTAAAGCAGCAGTATTACACGGGCTACACGGAAAACGAAGTACTGAAAGTCATGCAGCACATGGCCAAAAACATGGTGAAAGTCAATGAAAACCTGACAAAATTCATTGTCGTCAAGAATAAGTATGCCAGCAGCAAACTCCTGAAGATCAGCACGATCCCTCAGCTGAACTCCAAAGCCATCAAAACCTTGCTTCCCCTCTGATGGGCAGGACCTAGGCAGCCTGGCTCCTTCCTGCACTTTTTCTTGCTGTCTTGGAACTCCTTGATTTTGTACACACTCCTCTAGTCTATTTTGCAAAACCTCTTCTCAGACTAATTTTCTAAATGTATATTGAAGAAAAATAAAGCTATTGATTTCTTATCTTTTATCTTTTAAGCTTTTAGCACTGTTGTGGTTTGAATCAGAAATGGCCCCCATAGGCTCGTGTATCTGAACACTGGGTCCCAAATGGTCTTTGGTTTGGGAAGGTTATGAAATTTTTAGGGGCTGGAGGCTTGGGTTTGAGGTTTTACAACCTGGCCCCACTTCCTGTTCTCTTCCTCTGCACCAGTGAAGTGATCACTTGGCTTCCTATCAGCCCAACCTCATACTCTCGCTGCCATGCCCTCACCACCACGACAGAATGTAACCCCTCTCAAACTGTGAGCCAACATAAACCCTTTCCAAGGTTGCTTTTTGTCATTGTATTCTATCACAGCAATAGAAAACTAATATAGAAAATGGTACCAGGGAAGTGGTGTTGTTGCTGTAATAAACCTGACCATGTTGTCTAGTAGAGGAACGTGGAATTTGGAATTTGAGGCTAGAAAATCCATTGAGTGCTGTGGGCAGAGTTTAGTGAGCTGTTCTTGTGACAGCATGGACGACAGAAGTACTGAGAGTAACAAGGTCTGTGAGACCTCATTTGTGAGGTTTCAGAGGAAACCCAGGACTCCAATAGCAACTAAACTAGAAGCCATGGATGTGATATTTTAGCAAAGAATCTGGCTGTATTCTGCCCATGTGATGAGAATCTGCATGAGGCTAAATTAAAAGGTAATGGACTAATTTCTTCACAGGAGGAAATTTCAAGCCAACATTGTTTTAAATGTGGCATGGGTATTACTGGTTTTATTATTGACTATTCTTAAGCAGATCTACAATGAAAAAGAGCAAAAAACAAAGCAGAGGGAAATTTTTTAAATGTGCACTTTGGAGAGGAAGAACCCTAGGAAGCTTAAGGTTACGGCCAAGTCATATGCTGTAAAAAAGCTGTAATTGTTAACAGCATTTGTGTCATTAAAGAGAAGTCCTGTGCTCTACTGAACAACAGGAAAGGTGCCCTGTAGGAAAGAAACCACCAAGCTAAGGCTCCAATTTAGGAAAGAGCCTAAAGGATTTCCTGCTCCTTGAAAGCAAGTATCTAGAGAAGTTCCATTTTCAACATACAAAAACTGCTGCAAGTGGGCAAAACTGGTACAAGTGGGCAAAGCCTATCTCAAGCAGGGAGCAGAACTTGACAGTGTTGTCCATATGGTACTGGGTTTAGAGGCATGAAAGATGTAACACTGATGGGGGTTGTGGATACATTCTTGTGGTTTCAGACTTCTAAGGAGGAGGCCCTCAGAGGCCACTGAGTGAAGCTGTGAAGATGAAGTCTGGACTGCAATGGAGACCCTCTAAGATGTTGGAGATTCTAAGCTGTGGGACACCTGCCAATAACGACTGTATACAGGAGAGGAACCAGCCCGAGAGAGAGAGAGAGATACAAAATCTGAACAAAATCTAAGCCCTTTGAAACTGAAGTCTCAGCTACCCTACCAGACATGGAGCTACAGGATTTAGTGTTTTCCTTGTTGGGTTTTGGTCTAGCTTTTGGTTCAATTTTTCTTTACTATGTCCCTATACCTCTCTTTAAGAAAAGGAATGTGCCACTATATGTTGGAAATATATAATTTGCTTTTTGATTTTATAGGGAAACACAGTTAAAAGTTTGCCTTGAGTCTCAGAAGAGACTTTAGACTTTTGAAGTGTTGGGACTATTAAAGGCTAGGGAGACTTTAGAAGTTGGATTAAACGCATTTTGCATCAATAAATGGCTGTGAGCCTATAGGAGCCTGGGGCAGAATGTTGTGGTTTCAGTGAGAAATGTTTCCCATAGGCTTAAATATATGAACACTTGGATCCAATTATTCTTTGGTTTGGGAAGGCTATGGAACCTTTAGGAGGTGGAGCCTTCCTGGAGGAAGTGTGTCACTAAGGGTGAGCTTTGAGGTTTTATACCCTGGTCCCACTATTTTTTGGAGTCATACTGAAGGAGATGTATCTCCGGAGATGGACTTTGAGGTTCTATAGCCTGGCCTCACTTCCAGTTCTTTCTCTGCTTTCTGTGGAAGGATGAAACATGATCAGTCTGCTTACTGTCAGACAGGCCTCATGCTCCTGCTGCCAGGCTTCCCCAACCATGATGGATTATATCATTCCTGAAACTGTAAGCCAAAACAAACTCTTTCTTCCAAGGTTGCTTTTTGTCAGTATTTCTATCACAGCAACAGAAAACTAACTAATATGAGCAGTTTCTCAAATTTGAGTAATGCATTTAACTTTCAAAAGGGGAAAATGTTATAATAGTCCTTAATATAATGTTACTTAATAGTTTAATACATACAGATATGTAACTAGGCAAGTATAAACTATGCTCAAAACACTTCTAAAATGATAAAACTAAAATAAATATAGAAATTAACTACAAAGCACAAAATTGGCAAAATTTAAATTACTAACTGAAAAGGACAAGCAGTACTGCTTTGCTCCCCTTGTGGACACAGTCCTAATGGGAAATGGCCAAAATTCTGAGCTGAGCGTTCCTATACTGATGTTGAAGACAATACTCTCACCAATCTCCTCCTTTCAAACTACACTCAATTCCATTTTTTCCAGGTAATTGTTATCTCTCATCTGATACATATGCATTTTAAATCTCTCCTTGTTATTTTCAAATTGGGCCATGGCAAATTACAATTGTTTTACAACTATTTCTTGCCAACCCAGTAGTAAAACAAAGAGCTGCACTGATATCGCATAGCTATCAGACAGAGAAACCATACCATTATTTTTGTAGATTTAAATGAAAAGAAAAAAGTTCTGATAAAGTTCAAAGTCTAGCCCTCTGTAATTAATTAAGCAAATACTTAAAATTCTTTAATAGATAGTAGCTCTAAAATTGAAAAGGAAAGTGAAAATAATTAAGTCCATCAAATCATAAATTGATTTTGTTGTGAAAAATAATCCTGAACTTTACTTATAATAGAGAAGTGCAAATTAAATTTACACTAAGATATCAATTCTTACCTATCACATGGCAAAACTTTGAAAACGTGAGGACACAAATGTATTGCTTAAGGAACAGATCTATTGTAAGAGAAAACCACTCTCATATAGCACTTACCAATTCTTGCAACCTAAGAAACCCAGGCAAAAGATTTGCTTCCATATCTCTTAAATATTCAGCCTTATCAAGAACCTTTAAAAAAAAGATATGCGAAAATCAATTTACAAAACTGTTTATAAAACATAATACACTACAAGATTTAGACACTTTCCATGTTATAAAGAAAACTTGTACTTACTGGATTTACTTTCAAAAGGCAATTTTTACTTGTAGAAAAATGTTTCAAACCTGTTAAAAAACAGGTTACTAATAACATATTTTAATTCGAAATGCAGAGATAAAAAGTCATAGCAACATTTTTAAATGCTTTGTTTTGTAAGTGTATTACTATCCACCCCCCTCACGCCAAGAGTATAAAGTACTCTGAGGTTATTTTTCCACTTACAAAAAAAAATTATGTATTCGCCAAGAGACAGAAAACATATTCTAAATTTTATCACAAAAAACTTTCTTGCTTGAACTCTGTAAATATATGCATATATTTACATATGTTTAACCAGCTGGATAGATGATTATGTTATGAAAGATTAAATCTTGTTCAGTGTGAGATAAAGCTACTAGGATGTTTCTTCTAAAAAGGTCTTCATCTTTTAGACATATATAGAAGAAATTTATGGACAGTGTGCTGGATAGCTTTAGTGTCAACTTGACACACCTGGGTTGAAGGAGCCTCAATTGGGGAATTGCCTCTAGTGGACTGGCCTGTGGCCATGTCTGAGGGGCATCCTCACAATGAGTGATGTGGGAGGGCCCAGCCCACTGTGGGTGGTGCCACCCCTGGGCAGGTGGGTCTGTGTTGGATAAGAGAGCAAGCTGAAAGCCCGGGCATAATGGCACATGGGGGCATCTTCTTGATGAGTGATGTGGGAGGGCCCAGCCCACTGTGGGTGGTGCCACCCCTGGGCAGGTGGGCCTGTGTTGCATAAGAAAGCAGGCTGAGCAGGGGCCAGGGGAGCAAGCCAGTAAGCAGCGTTCCTCCATGGTCTGTGCTCCAGCTCCTGCTTCCAGGTTCCTGCCCTGAGTTCCTACCTTGGGCTCCCTGATGAACTGCGAACTGGGAGATGTAAGACAAATAAACCCTTTCCTTCCCAAGTTGGTATTGGTCAGAGTATTTTGTCACAGCAATGAAGAACAAACTCGAACAGATGGATTCATTTAATACTGAGCAGCAGAATGGTGATAATGAGTTTGATCCCATGTTAATAACTACTAAAACTGAGTGATAGTTCAGAGGGGTACTCTTAAATATTCCACAGTATCATGCATTTAAAATATTAACAATATTCCTGAATACCATCTAACAGCAATACTCAAAGTGCTCAACTTATCTCACAAATATATTATTGGTAACATGTATGATTCAAGATCCGTGAATGACTGAATTCAAACAGGAGAAGGTTAAATACTTGATTGCCTAATTTACCAATTTCCAATTCCGAGTTTGTACCTTCTTGTTTCTTGTGATATTACCACAAACCTGATGGTTAAAAATATTTATTTTCTCCAAGTTCTTGGAGGTCAAAAACTTAAAGATAGTTCCACTGAGCCACAATCAAGATATTGGCAGAGGCAGGCTACCTCCAGTGGCCCTTGGAAAAAACTCATTTCCTGCTTCTGGTGGCCTTGTTCCTGGTGGCTATAGTATTCCTAAGGCTTGTTGCTCACATTGCTCCATTCTTCAAGGCCAAAATTCTCAAACGGGCAAGAAATAACTCTGTCATGCTGCTTTCATGGGCAGGTCTTCTCCTCTGTCCATGTGGTGTGGTTCAGTATCCCTCTGTTTCCCTCCCATGTTGATGCTAGAAATTACATTCTGCTTCCACCCAGAATATCTGGGTAGCTCTATTTTACAATCCTTCACTTGATCACATGTGCAAGGACACTTTTTCCAAATAAGGTAATATTTCCAGGGTTGACAGATTGGGACCTGATACCTTCAGGGGCAATTACTTGCCTAGTACAATGCCCTAATAGGTTAAACTTTCAGGTAATCAATAAATTGGAGTTTTATGTTTTTTCTTTTTTTTTTTAAGGCCTCCAAAAAAGACTTTTATGCTTTTTAAGCATTTGTTTATCTAATGCCTCTACCCATTTAAAGCATTAAAAATTTATTTATTATTTGAGAATTTCATATATGTATATACTGTATTTTGATCCTATCCATTCCCTTTCCCTCTCAACTCCTCCTGGACTGTTTCCCAACATGTCTTGCTCCCAGCTTTTTATCTTTCTCTCCTTCTCTTCTCCCTCCCTCCCTCCGTCTCCCCCTCCCCTCTCTCCCACTGAGTTCATGGATGTGGAGCCATTCACTAGAGCACAGGCAATGTACTAAGGCTATACCCTTGAAGAAACTCTTTCCCACAGTAACCATCAATAGCCAACAGCTCCTCAGCTAGCGATGGCACCTTATAAGCCCCTACCTCATCTATGCTGGAATGCTGACTCACAAAATCCTGTGTGGGTCTAGTGTAGGTCACCACAGCTGCTCTAAGTTCATGATTACAACAGCCTTGTCATGTCCAGAAGACACTGTTACATCCCTGTCCTACCCAACCTCTGGCTCTTATGATCTTTCTGCCCCTATTTCTGAGTTGTTCCCTAAAACTTGGGGGCAGACGGTGTGCTTCTAACTTCTGGTATTGTCATGAAACACCATGACCAGAAACAACTTGTTTATGGTTTCTACAGAAATCCCCTGCTCTGTGGTTTTTGTGGTTTCAATTCTTAAGAGCCCTGTTTTCAAAGCTGTTGCAGTACAGCTCCCAAGACTGTCTATGTACCCAGCCGACTGGCTTCAATAAAGTACTTGTGTTTTTTATTGAGACTCAGTGTCCAAGTGGTCAATTCAGGGAATTCTTCAGACCCCAAACATTTTGGGGGCTCATCCCTGGATTCCCTAAAAGACCCTCGGTCTGTTTTTCTTTTTTGTTCTCCATTTGGCGCCCAATGACAACATCAGATCTGGTATCTCCCCAGGTGAGTATGTTTTGATTTCTGTTCTGGGTGTCCAGACTTCTGGGGCTCAAGGGAGAGAAACTGGACGCAGTATTGCTCGCCGAGCTGGAGGACCGCGATGCCCTGCCCCTCCATCTGAATGGTTGACCGCTTGTGCCCTCCAGGCCTTCGGTGTCAACCCTAATTGCTCTCACAGTGAATCTCAGATGCGCAGTGCCTTTGTTCTGTGTCAGTCAAGTCTTGAATGAATGTACCCGATCTGTTTCTTATTTGTCTTTGTTTCGGAGTAATCCTTTTCTTTTCCATCTTGGGTCAATCCCCTTCATCTGAAGACACTCCTCTTGACTTAATTCTATCTCATTTTAAGGATTTCCAGAAAGCAGCCACAATCTCTGGAGACACTGTCTATTCTGGGAAATTCCGTACCCTTGTTCTCTCGATGGCCATCTTTTGATGGTGACTGGCTCCCCACTGGGTCTTTTGATGTTAACAAACTTTCTTCTGTTCAGGCCTTGATCTTCGAAAACCCAGGACATCCTGCTGGGGTTGTGAGACATGGGTCCCCGCTTCATGCTTCATCGGTCTCACCCACCTCCTGTCCTTCCCCCTTCAATGACCCCTGCCATCCTTCCCCTCTGTGCTATGGCCCCGCCAGCTTCCTCTGGCCCACAGTTTTCTTGTTTATTTTCCTTTCTCAATGAGTGATCTTTATAACTGGAAATTACAAAATCCTCCTTTCTCTGAAAAACCCCAGGCTTTAATTGGGCTCCTGGCACCAGCCCACCTGGGATGATGTCCAAAAACTCCTTCTCATCCTCTTCACCACCAAGGAAATTTTCCCTCGCTGCCGCCCAGATTGGGATCCCAACCTGCAGGTAGGGAGTCACTCAGACTCTATTGCCAGATTCTTATGGGGGGGTCTCCAAGCCACTGCAAAAGGGCCAACAAATTTGTCAAAAGTCAGTCAGGTTTTGCAGTGACAGACAGAGCCTGTCACAGTTCTTGGAGAGATTGATGGAAGCCCATTGGGCTTATACTCCCATCGATCCAGAGGCACCTGAGAATCAACAAGCAATAAACACCACCTTCGTGACCCAGTCTGCTCCTGATATCCGGAAGAAATTACAAAAGTTGAAAGGCTTTGAAGATGTGCCCCGCCTGACATGTACGATGACCAGTGCCTTAAACCCTGCTTTGAAGATGTGCCCCACCTGACATGTACGGTGACCAGTGCCTTAAACCCTGCATCCCTGCTCCCTGAGACTGAGTCTGAGACAGCTGTGCATACATAAAAGATGGAGTGGTAGTAGTCACCCAGGAGGACGTCCTATGGGCAGAAGCTCTGCCCAAAGGAACCTCTGCATAAAAGGCCGAACTGACAGCCTTGATCCAGGACACCAAAAGGACACACCTGAGGCCCAAGGAAACCAAAAGGCGGATCAAGTTGCCAAGCAAATAGCAGAATCCTTGTCTGAACCTGCTCTCCTAGCCCTGCCAGATCTTACGTTACCTGAAAAGCCTTCCTACACAGAGGAGGATGACAAATATTTCAAATGGGTATGTCTCCTCAGGATGGAGACACACTTCAGATGGCAAGGTCATCCTTCCCCACCACCTGGGGAAAATGCTAGTTTGCCAACTCCATGAAGGAACCCATATGGGAAAAGAAAAGATCAGGTTATTACTGACCAGATGCTTCTGGTTTCCTTCCTCAACAGCTACTATACAGGACATCACCTCCAGACGTATGGCGTCCAGATGACTAATGCCTACCTCAACAATGATAAATCCTCAGGAAAACGTGAAAGAGGGACTGCCCCCAGAGTCTGCTGGGAGGTAGACTTCACTGAGGTAAAGCCGGGCTGGTTTGGGTATAAATATTTACTGGTTTTTGTAGACACTTTTTCAGGATGGATAGAAGCCTTTCCCACCAAGAAGGAAACGGCAAACATAGTTGCCAAGAAGTTGCTAGATGAACTCATTCCCAGGTTTGGTGTGCCCCTGGTGTTAGGATCTGACAACGGACCAGCGTTCATCTCTCAGGTAATTCAGGCCTTAGCAAAGGCCGTGGGGACAGATTGGAAACTACATTACACATACCATCCCCAGAGTTCAGG